TTTCTCTCCGTCCTACCACCGACATCGATCTCACGAATGTTCTCATAACAAATACTTGACGGGTTCATCCTCAATTGTTGCATCCAACTTTGCACCAACGGATGACTACTTTCATCCTCATGTATGTTAAAAAACATATGTTCCTCTTCCTCATCTAATTGAAGAACACTTCGAATACCCTGAGAACATTTTAACAGATTTGGTATCAGTGATCCGGATTATGGTCAAACTCGTCAAACTCGTCAAACTCGTCAATTTCGTCAAACTCGTCAAATGTCATATATTATAACTAATGTAATCGATCTATACATACCTATGAATCCACACCGATCTGTTTAATCACATTTGCAAGTGTGACATAAAGGCCCGGTTGGATTTGCTTCTTACACATCCTAGGACATGTGGGATCGGCGTCCTTCACATCTATATACCATCCATTGGCGCCTAAACTATTCACGCATTCAAAAGGAAGCAACTGCAATATACATACAAACTAATCAATCAAATACTCAATCACAATAAATAAAAAACAATGATAAAAAAGTAACTCACCATAAGAGGTATTACGAATCCAGGGAAGTGCCACTGAGCCCTCGGTGTAGGACTACTTACATACAACTTCAGTATATGATCGATTGTTCTTTCGAAAGTGTATCTCCCCCAAGGAAACCCTTCACAAAATTCCAGATTGTTGACCATGTCAACTGCATCATTTGGAATCACATCATTGTTCTTGATTCCATGGTCTAATACTCCACCTAGCAATATGATTATTGCTAATCTTCTCCTGTCCTCCACATCTTGGGTTGGAGTGGCATACAGCTTCTTTATCGCTTCGGATATTGTCACCTTTGAATGTCCAAACATTTTCATCCGAAACTGGGTTCCCTTACATTTAGCCCAGTCTTGTGGATACTTTTCACAATTTAGGCCGCAGATAATCGCATGCTCGGTGATCGAATATCTGATGGGCACGCCATTCAGAACAAACCATAGCTGTTTCACTTCTCCTTCCAATTTTAGTGCCCGATGTAAGAGGACTGATGCCAGAACCATCTTCAAT